CTGGGACTCACTCATTAACATTACATATTTCTTCTTTCCAGAGTCTTGTTGTTACTGGATTTTGGCTAATTGGTGCATAATAAAAACAACAATAGTGCAACGGTAGAACATACATGGACATTAATTTAGCAATAAAAATGTGTAATTCTTAATGCAACAAAGTGAATTGCAACTTGTGACATACCTTCACGAGTAAATGTCTGATTCAAATTACTATCAATTTGTAAACAGGGAAATAATATGGGATTAATTGGTTGTGGTGTTGTAGCATATACTTCCAAACAAATCCCTAAATAGGGGCCATGACATGTTTCTAAAGCCAGTGTTACTTGTAGGCTCAGGGGTCATAGAAGGGGCAACCAAAATGAGTCAGTCGGACCGTCACAAAGATAAATCCCATTTTGGTGCAGCAGCTTCACTCACCTTTACACGTGCCACCCTTCTCTTGATATCCCGGGCTGCAGAAACATCCACCAATAGGAACCAACCACTCTCCGTCAGCACCGCAGTACATTTTAGGCTCCTCTCTCTCTTCCGATCGGTTGACGCACGACCCCCTGACCTCCACCAAGGAAGACGTATCGGCCCCGGTGACAGTGTCCGGAAACGTTGCCAGGTTACGAATGGTGAGCGGACATGTTTTGTAGAAAACTCTGACGGAAACCAAAGCGATGCAGGCGCCAACATCTTGAAAGGCCAGGTAGAAACCCTTCCGGGTCGCCACCTTCACGTCTCGCACCTCGGTATTCAGTTTCATGATGCGGTCGCCAACGTCCACCTGTGACGAAAGGAGAATGGAGATAAAATTAACAAAAGTGTCCTCCCTTATTAATTCGAAGTGCTTGTTTGATCGTCACATGTTCAGCATTGGGCTCTCACCCAGATTGACTTCTACTGACTGCAAAGGTAAAAGATGCTGTTACTCCGTAACGATGCCAAAATCAGCAGTAATCTTTTTGTGAGGACTCGGAAAAAGCTCCTAGCCAGCTTTTCTGGGGATGGCAGAACGGACGATTAAAATAAAAGTGCTTGTAAAATAAATTAAAAAAAAGACTGCTAAGTGCCGCGGTTTTTTTTTATCGAGATAAGAGCAAATTAAGGTGAGTTGGGGAGGGAAGATAAAGAACTGAAGACCTGACTCAGTTGTTTAGTGTTACCTGAGTAAAGCTCTCATCTGCTGCCACAGTGTCCACTTTAATGAAGCTGCTCTCTTTGATGTAGCTCTCTCTGTCTTCGTTAGACTCGTGGTAGTAGAGGTTGAATGTCTCCTACAAGGGAAAAGGGACAGCAGAAAAAGTGAGACTGGCACCTATTCATCATCATCATCATCATCATCATCATCATCATCATCAGCGCTCATCTTTTCTCTTAACATGATAATGAGTCAAAGGGGGGTTATGTGCTTTGGGGGTTACCAGCAGCTCTATTATATAATGGAGACATTAGCCGCCACCTGTCTAATAACTAAATAGCAACAAAGTTAACAAGTGAAAGAGGTCAAGTATTTAACGTAAATCACCTGATTTTATAATGTCCCCAAACCACACATTGATCATCATGCTCTGTCAAGACATTTTACGTGTATTTCCTGTTACCTTGCAGGTGCCGGTGACCCCTGGCAGGCTATTACAGTCCCTCAGGGTGAACTTGACTTCAACGTAGACCCTCTGAGCGCCGGACCGAGGGATCCAGTCAGTCCTCAACCAGTTGTTCTGATTGGGCTCCAAGACGTTGCACACCTGGTACGTTCTGATGGGGATGTTCTTCTCGTCCATTATACTCACCTCTTCCCACTGCAAACAAACACCAACGCAAATGCACCATTAAAGTTAAATCATATTCATGCTCCTTAACGACAAACTGTGTGAACTTAACCTTAAAAAAAGAAATTCCAGCAATATCAGCAATATCGGCTGACATGTAGCAACGATAAGTGATGTACCAAAAGAATATACAGTTGTTGTGAAGGGGATGTGAATGTGGGGGAAGCTTGTTTATAAAAGTTTCAGTTGTCAGAATTTCTGACAAGTACTTGAATGCACCACCAGGGAAGGGTTTCCAAAACCACGGCAGCTACAAACGTAGTAAACAAAGATAAATGTTAACGTTGATTATTACAGGATGTCTGTGAAGAGGGATTTTCATGCCCAAGTATGAACTGAAACCTATGGCGTTCTGTACGTTTGACTCTAAACTCAGGAACTAATCTTCAGACAGAAATACTCTTAGGGAAGCAAGACCCGTTGTGTTTTTCTAACCATCTGAAGAAATATTCAGCTGCACAAACACAGAAAACAGGTTCAAATAAATTACAGATGCTTGGGCACATTTGAAAAAGATGAATTCGTCCGTCAATATTCTGCAGTGGAAGGTGGTTCCAGTTTGTGGCAACTCCAAGGTTTTTGAAGGCACATTTCCATACAAGAGCAGCATGCGCAACCTTCGCTGCATCATCTATCTCAATACAGCCGACTATTTTCCTTGTACTGTGACCCGTCAAATGGCCGCTGAGCCTTCCAACTCCAAATTGGCTTTTTATTACCACTGAATAATAATCTGCTCTAGTGAGAGCTGTGTACGCTAAAACGTGCCGTGTCGAAAGAGTGAAAAAGAGAAGGAGACTCAGAGAAATCGGCATGTGTGTGTGTTGGGAGGAGGCGGTCTGTGTTTGAGTGTAACTAATTGAGCCGGATCGATATGTCATCAAGACGGATCTTATTGGCCAATGTAGGCTCATTACAAAAATACTACTGAATTAATATTGGTGTACGTGTTGGAAACAGCAGTGCAATAAATTTACATTTTCATTTCCATTTTACCTAAATGTGCTCCTTATTTTCTTTTTCTTTGTGCTGTTTGTTTATTTAGAATATTTTTAAATTTCCAGTGAAGTTTATTGTTGAGTATTTTCTGCAATTTTGTAGGGTTGAGTTGAATGTTTACAGATTGGTTTATCGTATCATTATCAGATATGTAACACTCTCAAATTCGAGTATTGGTCCAGCTGGAACCGTGCACTCATGTAGTATATAAATATAAGTGTGGATAACATCTTTGTGTGCTCTTGTGTGTGTCTTTGCAGCCTATGTGTGTACTAGGACGAGAGCTGTGGAGCAGTGATGCCTACTTATTTTGTCAGCCAACAGAAATCACAGCTGTTAGAACAAAAAAAAAAGCTTTGCCCCAACCATTCAGAGATGGTGTTTTGTGTGTGTGTAGCTAAGGGGTGCGGAAGGAGGGGTGGGAGGGCAAGGGGGGGGGGGCTGTGATCAAAAGCTCAGTGCGTGCAGACCAGGACCCCGTCAATCATGCAACATGTGAGAGAATAGAGCATGGTGATGGAAAAAATAAGTGTCAAGTTCACCAATAAACCAACAAACCAACAAAGAAGTGAGAGAGACACTGAGTAAAAGGCAGCGAGAGAGGAAGAGGAAAGACATAGATGAAAGATCACAATGTACCAATAACGTCAAGTACAAAAAGATGAGAGGATGCAGTACAAAATAGATATCTAAAGGATTCATCCTGGCAATTGCAGGGTAGTAAAAATCCCTAAAAAAAGACACCCACCACCAAGCTGGTTCATGCCTAACACGTGCCAAACACGACGCCAGCAAGCTCATATTAGCACTCAGGCTTGGTGAACAACAGTACATTTTAGAAAATCTGTGGGATGATTATTTACAGTTTCCAGACCAAGTGTGTGTGAGTGAGAGTGCAGTGTGTGTGGTTGTAAACAGTGTATCTGTAAAAAAAAAAATGAAAAAAGCTCCCACTCACCCCTCCCTCGGAAGGACTGGCGGCCCATTTCAGCTCTCCTGGCACTGTCCTGGTGTCCAGCAGGGTCACTACAATGCACATTTACAAATGCAAGTGGTTGAAGGGCAAACAGCCTACATTGAAGCGTTAAAAAACAATTATTTGTGAGAAGTGAGCAAAATAGTAACATTTGTTTTGGAATTGGGAGACTTAACGACACCATCACTACATAAGTTGTCATGACTGAAGTTTGGGCAAACATAGAAATTATCATTTAATCTAAGTAATTCATGTTTTAAACATGTGTTATATACCATGTTCGAGTGTTACGGGTTCAACTGTTGAAAAGCTGAATAAATGTCTATGAGGTTCTCGCTTATCGCTCTGTGCTCCACTGAGCTCCATCACCATATCACGCCAAAATAACCAAGAAGCAAACGTGGCCAAACATGCAGCGGAACCACTCGGAGGCAAAAACGTGCAACCAAACAATTACAGTGGGGGGAAAAAACGTCAGCTACTCCAACTTTTCATCCGTTCAACATTACGCGCAAATTCGCCACCCTTCCACGATGCGCACGCGGCGGTTTTTCTCCCCGAATGTGCCACGCGCGCGCGCGCTCGCGCGATTCCCTCCTCACTGACCTTCGTTGGGTGGATAAATCCTCGTCCTCGAACTTGAAACCAGCGGTAATATCCATAGGAAGAAGGGAAATATTCGCCATGCGTTCGCAGCCATGTGTGCCGAGGGGCAGCGCGTGTGCTGCCGGTTGGCTCCGCGCGCGAGCTGAAGCGGCTCCATCCCGGTGGGAAAAGTGTGTGTGAATGAAGCCAAGTGTGAAAGCGAGTTGGATGCAGCGCTGGATGCCGGGGCGGGCTCTTACACGCACATGCTTCCCTTAATGGTAATTCAAATGGCACGAGACAAAGGGCCCACGGTGATCGTCGTCTCCGTCAAGACTAAATCTAAAAAGACGAGAACACACTGAGGTTTTTTTTTATTTTTTTTTAGAAGATTTTGGTGAAGCGATGCTGTGGTTATCTGTAGCTTCTATGGATCAAGACGGAAAGAAGCGGCACCCTCGCTTAACTGACTGTATATGACTGTATATTTCCCAGAGGGACACCTCGTGCTCTCCAGGGAAAACAGCAGGTAAACAGGCCGGCCGACACTAATCTAAAGGTAAACAGACACCAGCGACGTCAGAAGTGGCATTTAGCAACGATACCCCCCCCCCCCCACCCTCCAAAAAAAAGATGAGGTCACATCACATAAAGAAACAGTCCGTCATATGAAGACCACAACACGAACTCAACTACCTGGATGTGTTGCCTTACTACAATAACAACTGGGGTCGTTGAAGGCTCTTTGTCCCGAGGAGACATGAAGAGTGTGACTGCAGCGCCACCTGTAGGTGGTCCTCTCAGGGGCAAGAGGAGAAACCCAATGAACGATCCTACTGGGCTTTTGGATATTTTTAGGGCAGATACGATGAGGATAAGGAGCTTCATTCATTTCCACAGCAACAGGATACAAAAAAAGAGACAAAAGAGAGGGGAATCATTCTTTACCAATAAGTCAGCTATAAGGAAAACGGCAGAGGACTGTGGCCTTCTGTAGGAGCGCCAACAAAGAGCCAGCTCACGACCCCGTCCGCCTACACACTCCCTCTCTCAAAGACTGCGGTGGACAATCACGATTGAAAGAGGCGCCACTTGAAGAAGTATATTCCTTATTTTCACCAGTTGTGTGTATATTCGACCAAAAAACATGGAGCAGAGATGTGCTTCTTTTCGTTTTGTCCTTCTCCACCATGAGTAAAGTTAAGTTCTGATGACCCTTGTGTGAAATTGACCAACACAAAGCTCCGAATGGTGTTTGGGTGATGTCAAGTAGAGTGCTTTAAACAGAGAACGACGCGTGAAAGTGTGTGTAAGGGGGTGTGTGCCTGCATTTGCGTGTACGTATGTGCTTGCGTGAGCCTCCCTCGAGGGCCGGTTTCCATCTCGCTTTGTGTCTTCACAGTTGCTAAGCCGAAAAGCATCTCGATCTCCTGCAAAGCATCATAATGGGCCACGGGAAAGCATCTGGCGCTTTGAGGCGGCGAAAAAAAAACCGACCTTCCCCGCCTCGACCTGCCACTCTTACCCCCGACCGCCATAATGCGTTTTTCACGTTTCATTCTCCCCCGGCGCCACGACAGACTGCGCAATTACAAAGGCCCAATTAGTCAAGAGGGGATCACGACTTCGCCCGGGGACCGACGGGCCAATCGCATTGAGCGGTGCGCCACGAGAGCCTATGGGGCGGCGGCGTGGGTGGGTGGGACATGACTGCGGGGCGGAGGCGACACGGTGACATGGATGGAGAACGTTCCCTTGTTTCTGGTCATTTGTGTCACCAAAAGTTTTGATTGATGACCGCCGGGATGTTTTTCCCACTCTCCCCTGAGATTCCCAGCTCTCCTCTGGGGGGGGGGGTTTCAACAACGGGCCCCTACTTTAAGTTTGGCCCTTAGCCCTGAACCACATCCACACACGCACGCTTCTTGTTCCATTGGGGCCCCAGATGGCTGCTGCCCACACATCTGCACTGTGAAACACTAAATACAGGCCCGGCGTCCGTGTTGTCATGTGCATTCGCACATGTGAACATGCGTTCATACACATGAAGCGTCTCACAGTGATGAAGAGCACGGAAGGCGGCCAGAAAGGAGTAAAGCGAAGTAGATACGGAGATGTGTGTGAGTTTGTAAAGAGAAAAGCCAAAGGGACCGTAGGTGCGTGGGCGGATGAGAGAGAGGAACAAAAGAAGCCGAGTGGAGCGATGAGGAGCAGCGCATCGCCAGTGAGGTTTTGATTGGGTGGGTGGAGGTTGGAGAGGAGGAGGAGGAGGGGGAGGCGGTTGGGTGTTGAAAAAGGATCTTCCCTCAAAGCCTCGCTAAGATATTCCTGGAGTGAGTTAGCTTTTCATTTGGCTCGCGGTCCTACACAGACTGCCTACATGCAGCTAGGACCATTTCATATTCCTTCCAGCGGGCCGATGTGACCCATAATAGTCGGGTTTATTTTAAACGTGTGAGGTTTGGAGTGCGTGTGGATGAACTCCTCGGGTCATTAGCATGTCAGAGGCGTTCCGTTGGTACTCAGCTCTCTCCGCAACAGCTGCTCGTCTGGCGAATTACTCAATTGATGTGTGTGTGTGTGTGTGTGTGTGTGCGAGTGGATGTGCGTCTGTGTTTATGCATGCGTGTGTTCGCCATAAACAAAGGGAGAAGCGAACAGACGGTTTCATCAAAAACACCAAAACACCAAACGGGTGTGTGGTCGTGCATCATTCGCTCACTTTGATTATTGAAGAAATCTCCATCAGCATCTCGTGCTTCTGCTTGTGTACTTGCGTGAGTGTGTGTGTGTGTGTGATTGCATAAACATGGTGTCAGAGTAATGAGATGTTCTCTCCATCCATCTGCTCTGCTGGCATATTCCTCTTCAGACGGCTCCTTTACGGGAGAGAGAGAGACGGAGCACGAGAGGGACAGATAAACAGTCGGAGTGAAGAGGTTCTGTGATAATGTGGGTTTTGTCCGTCAGTCACTGGAGCAACGACACACTCTCAGGTCGCCCCTCGGAGCTGCGAGGCTCCATTCAGTTGTGGCCCTCTGAGGGGTTTTAACGCCTCGGTGTGGTTACCAGACTCTGAGCGTGACTCAGAAAGAGAGAGAGACCTCATTGTTCTGCTCCTCCTTATCTACCGTCTCAGGCAGGAAGCTCGCGCCGTCCCCCCCTCGGCGATGTGACCCGGCGGTGATACCGCGCGGCCTTGCCTGCGAAGATAACAGACCACCCTCAAAATACTCCTCTTTCTACCGACGCGAACCCTTCCCCTGGGTGGTGAGCATCTCCTCTGGCTCACCGCATCCTCGGGAGTCTCCCCGGCCGACCGTCAGCTCTGCCAGACTGAAACACCCGCGGGCTCCTCCTAATGTCACAGAGGTGCTTTAAAGTCTATACCCCCCCCCCACCTCCTCGTTTTCCTCTTCTACTGCTCACTGCTTCGGAGGCCGCGGATGTTACGGCGTCGGCCTGGGCGGTGGGAGTGCAATTGGGATTGTTACATCACACTTTCTCTTACAGTTTTTCCACAATAATTCTTCACCCCCCCCCCCCCCCCCCCCCCCCCGCAGCTCCTTCAGTCACCCACACTCTGGACACACGGGGCAGATGGGATGTAGGAGGAGGAGACGGCAAGGACAGAATCTGCCGGGCTCACATAATTATACATCAAGTAATTCAGCATAATTCCTCAATAAGATATTGAAGTGTGCATTGTGTTCCGTGGCTCGCGGCTTCGACGGCCTGGAACAATGCTAATTATCCTAAACTCTCTCTGAAAATCATGCTACAGCCAAGTGCTTAGAGAGTGTTTTCTTGGCCGCCTAAAGTCTCTTCTGTTGTGAAGGGCTTTTAAGGATACTGACAATGCCCCCCTCTGTTGTTTGCAGGAAGTTTCTTGCTTACTTATAACCCTTTTATTCCATGCTCCTTTGCCACATTTGACATTTGGGGTTAGAAAGCTGTTGTTTTGGTCTTTTTGTGTGCCCGTGTGTGTGTGTGTGCGCATCCCAGCCTTTCTTTTGGCCCAAACCCACGCAGGTGACCAGCGGAGGCCTTGTGTGGGTGGACAACTCAATGGTGACCCCCGCTCTCTTCACCCTCTCTCCTCTTCCCTTCCCTCTTTCCTTGCCCTCCGTCCACCAGTATGAGTCCAAAGAGAGAGGGAGGGGGGCCCAGCAGAATAAAAGGTCTGACATCGTTCCTTAAGCAAAGTCACAAGCCCAAATGTTGCATTCAAAATCAACCAAAATCACAGCCTAGTAAATAAAAAATAAAAAATAAATCATGAGTGTTGGACTTTGATCATGAAGTAGCAGCTCATGCATTGATGAGACAAGGATTATTATGTGAAGTAGTGCTGAAACAAGTAAACACAACATAAAACCATTATCATGAGACATTTGCTGAGTAGCTGTGCTACTCAATGTATACTTAATTGTAATTGTAACAAAAGGTCAAATGGTGCCTAATCTGAAAAAGGAGCCGCTCGTGGTTACAAACCGACAGAATTATCTGTGGACTCTACCAACCCCCCCGCCCCCTGCTTCCGGGAGTATTTTGGATGAATGCTAATGAGGATTTGAAGCTGGTAACAATTTGCTGACATGTAGGCCATGTCAAGCTAATGAGAGAATAATGATCAATACCGTATTTACGCCTTGTTACATGCAGAGAACTGCTTTAAAATCATTGTTAGTTGAAAATCGGAAGAAGAATTTGGCTACTTTAGCTTTCGCAACCTGTGATGTGTGTATTTCAGCTATGAATTACAGCAGTCTGAGACTGAATCAAAGGGACACTGCGATTCTTCACATTAAAGGAGCTAAAACTGGATTATTAGCATTACTTTTAATACAAATACAAAAAAACAATGACAAACGATGCTAAAAGTGTTCCCAATACAACCTCTGTGATTGCCTCATCTAAAGTGATTAATGATCTGATCACGATGAACAAGTCGGGCTGTAACCTCACAGTTTCCTTCGGGGAGGAAACGCAAGATGACGACACAAGGCTGTTTTTTAGGATTAGCGAGGATTAAGGTGTCAAACGAGACGATTGTTCAGTTTATCGCGTTGCCCTTTCCCTTCTCAGTGGGAACCGGTCGCTAACACACAGATAGAGCACGGATTACGGGCCAGGATGCAAACCGCCCCCCGAGAACGTTAAAACCTCGTCATGAACAGTATTTTGTAGCCGGTGTCAGTATCAGATATGCCGGTTGTGTGTCACCATCACGTCTCATCCATCCAGCATGTCACGCTTGACCATACAACACTGCCCCCTGACGGAGGACGGCCGCACAAACTGCTGCTGGACACCCGTCAAATGTGGAGAGTGTGTGATGTGCTAAATTGGGATGTGTGGGCCTGACCGGCGAGTAGGAGGGCGGATGAGGTTTCAAGGAGAGCACAAGATGGGCAAATCAAAAGGAGAACATGATGATTCATGGGCCCTGAAACTGTCACGAAAATGACATGACTTAGATCGGCTAACTGGATCACATGCCTGTAACAGACGGAAACAATACGGAAGAGTGACTGGCATCAATAAATACTCAAATCACGCAATTCAGCACAGAGAAAATAGTACAGCTGCAAGGGTGTGATCCCGTATCAGTTATTTCCATTTGAAGGACATGCATTATGCACATCGTTATATGAACACAATAGCAAGTAAATTGTCTGCTGGGCTAATTTTCTTCCTGCCAAAACTAATTCTCATGAATCCTGGAGGATCATTAAATTAAACTCTTAAATTAAAGGGAGAGAAGTTGCTGCTGTTGAGTCGTTCCACTTCATGTCTGAGGGCAAAGGAGACGGAATACACACTCTCATTAATCACAGCTTCATGTACTCAACCGGCAGCGTGGTTTCCAGCTTCTGCATTTATGAAGTGCCCTTGAGCAGGACACACAGAATCAGCTGCAGTGGCCCAAATCCGTTGCTGGCCTTCACAATGAAAACGGCAACTAAAAAAAAGCATTTTTCATTTTAATTGGCTTAATTGGGTCGTTCTTCAATCTTTAGATTGCTGATTATGTAAACCAGTCCGACAACGGCTTCAACCCACAATGTCAAATTAGGACATTACGATCATATTTGTCAACACGGGAAAAAATATGAAGCAAGACGAGGGCAATATTTTGTGCAACAAATTATATTTAAGAGCAATTATGCAGGCGTATGCGCTGAGAGCTAAATATGCAGCAATATGCAGTAGCTTTGGAGGAAACTAAACAAAGGGGAGAAAGTGTGATCATAAGAACCTGCTGTGCTGTAATACATCGGTGCAATTGCGCCCACATACACAAATCTGGGTGTTGCATAATGGCAGAGCAGAGGTCTAATTTGTAGGATCAAAGTGCAACGTGTGCAACCTTGGCTGCCACGATGCAACAGTGGGCTTCCTGTCCTCAATTTAGCAACCACAGGAGACAAGTAACATGAGCATTGTTTGAGCATTGTTTGATCCGTATGTATATCTATATATAGATATACATATACATACAATACAGAGGTTGTGTATTCAGTCAGTTGTCTACTCTTTGCATCGCTAGCATGGCTCCCAGAGGAAGGATCGCCGTGACAACCGCTCTCCTCTGCTTCATACTGGCCCTGCTCGGTCCGGCTCCAGCTGCGTGTAAGTTAATTTCATCGCATTTCACCTCCGCTTTTCCATCTAACTGAAATACAGCAGATATTACATTGGGAATTGTATGTTTAACAGATCATTTGTGGCGTGACGTGTGTGTGTGTGCGCAGTGGGTTCCAATGCGGGAAAAGCCTGTGGCACCAGCTACAATAGGAAGCCGGTACCCTTCCAGCGTATAAGGGGCTACAAAGAACAAACCACCAGGGAGATTGTGTAAGGCCGTCCGAACCCACAGACTCCATCTGAATCGGTTCAGTGACATTATCATCTGACATCTCATCAGTGTCAAACCTTCATGAGAGGGTTGGTGAAGACTAACTGATTGGATTGATTTGATTAACTTAACAAATATTCGAAAGACACCGGTAATTGTTTTTTGGAAAGCATTACTAATATTGAATTCTAAAAAATGTATTGCCATGAAAATAAGCCATTGATTTACAACAATATTTTACTGTCAAAACTAATTACATGGATTTCATGACTCTAAAAAGGCTGCCGTTTGATCTGCTCCATATCTCCATAAATCGTGTTCATAAATGATTGTATGCAGGCTGTCTGGGCTTTAAAATTGAAAAAATCCAATTACGCAACAGAGCTCGGTATCAAACTCCAATACTTTTTGATACCGATGGAATTGTACCAAAAGCAGCGAATGAATATCAATAGAAAGTTCCTGCAGGGATGCACTGTGTTCCTGTAAGACACAGTCAAATGCTAACGCATTTGATAAACCAAAATAGGTTTTGTGGAAAACTCATTAGCTTTCCTCAAAAAAAAGTTTAAATCAAATCATTTTGTTTATCAAAACTGGAATTATGAAAAAGAACGTATAGCTGTACTTTCCGTGGAATTACAAATTACTTTACTAATGTATGATGTTTCTCACCATTGCAGTTTCTACATGGTTAAGAAGAATGCAACATGTGCCGTGCACGCAAAGATGAGTGGGTGAGGAAAAATCTGGAATTACTCGAAACTCCTACTCACTTTGAAATACTAAATGGTTTCAGTTGGATGTGGACCTTGACATTAGAAGAAGCTTTTCCTTTGTTTTGGGAGCATTGTGAGTAAAAACGTTTATTTCTATACAGTTTGAAACTGAAGAAGACGTCCAAGGCCGGCACCGCTGGAGATTGGACTCCAATGAGAAAAGTGGATCTTTTGTCCCACAGAAGCCTTCCAGAAAAGAACCCACGGTTTCTATTAGCGGAAATCAGGTTTTGGTCTTTGGAATTAAATCATTTGAGTTGTAGCAATGCTGATTTGAGAGAATGTTTTACAGAATTGAACATACTATAATCCATTCATGTTGGGAGTATTAATTAATTAATAATTAAGTGCTATTGACTTTTACTGCCTAAACATATGCAGTGTGGATGTAATTATGATCCAAGCGGGGACCTCAGAAGAAGCACTTTATTAGATCATGTGCTTGGCCGCTGTTGACATAAACATCTTTACGTTTCATTACCTGGAATCAGTTTCATGTTTAGAAACATGCTGACATGCTATTTCTCGCAAACACATAAATCTATTTCATAAAACAACACCGTTGTCCTCATTTATTTTATTAAACTACAACAAACACACGTAACTTCTAACGTAGTCGCAGCTCATTTATTTTGTTTTTAATTGAACTTTTTGGGAAAATGTCAACAGTTTTTTAACAAAAGCGCATTAAACCATCATTTGTCATATAATAACCTGAGCGGATGAATAATGCCTCATACAAATGCCCAACTTGACTTACGGGGAGTCAGTGTCTATTTCAGGGCGACACCCGGCGGGGTGGCTGCTGCAGTCAGACACGTGCTCTCCTCATCTAGGCTGAAGTCCTGAAGTTATTTCATGTCCCCACTAGATGGCAAAATTGACCCGTAAAAACAGCCGAGCCTCTTTCAGCTACATCACGAGGTGTGTTGACGAATCATTTGATGAGCTTGGCTGTCGATGATTTCCATTAAAAAGAGAAACACGTGAGGATGGAGGACAGTAACATTTTATTTTTTCAATGGCAAACAACAGAACTTTTAATTAGATTGCTTCGGACATGTTTTGTCTATTTATCATTTAAGCCTTATGTTAGCTGAAATAACACAGGGAGGACATTTTTTAAAGAAAGGGAAAGACATAAATAGCGCTGCTAATAAATATTAAATATTACATTAAAAGCATTTTAAATATTTTTAAATTATTCAGTAATTTGCTGTTGATTTCAGATTTCTAGGCGCGCTGGAGGTTGTAGAAGCACGAGTGGTGCTCCGGTTTGCTCTGCGGATTTGCCTGCAAGACAAACAGGAGATCACAGTTAAATTAACAGCTAATCACAGGTCCGACGCAACACAGTGACAGAAATGGTCGTTACTGAAAATGTTCTAAGATGACTCACTCAAGCTCCTTGACCTTCGCAAAAACCCACTCTTGTTTCCAGTGGCTGCAGACTTCTCCGTCTGTGGTCTCAAATCTTGGAGGAAAGAAATAAAGAAAAAGCTCAATCACAAGCTCTAAATCGATTTTTAAGAAATTTCCAACGTATTGATCATCCCTCTCTGTTAGATAAAGTAAGGAGGTGTTTCTTACATGACTGCTTTGACGCAAGGGGGTTTCTTCCTCTGGACCCTGTACCCCAGGATGGCAGCAGTGACATTTGCAACGCTGACCTCAGTGCAGCACTTGATTATCTTAATTTCTGTTTTTTTTTGGGGGGAAAACAAGCAGAGGATCGGTTGTTACAAGCACACATCTCGTACAGCTATGAAATATGAATTAATGCATTTACATCAAAAGATGCTGGAGCAGGCCAGTTGCGCAAAGTGCAGGATCTCTAACAGGGAACTTACCAGATGCCGATGCCGTTATTGCGAGGACCCCGGCGACGAGAGCCAAGCACGCCAGTCTTCTGATGTACGACTGCATGGTTTCCACGGGAGATGTTGCAGAGGTTCTTTGGAGAAGCTTAATGTATGATGTCCTCTGACCAGACCTCTGATTTATACCGCGGAAAGAGGAACCGGGGAAACCTGACCGGATGAATTGTATCTTAGGGCTTTCTACATATTGTGTGAGTAGGGGACGCACTTGGATGATACTTTAGATGACCGCTTCCTTTTTTTGTGATTTCTTCATGACATTGACTGGGGTGACTTGAGAAAGAGAATCCGTCATCTACAGTGATCACTTCTTTCTACTATTTTATTACCATCCATAACAGTTAAATAAAATGTATTCATGTTTGATTAAACTAATTTAACAGATTTTCAACCGGTTTAGGCATTATTGGATATTTTTATATTCATTCTTTCTGGAGTTTGCATATTCGTATAATTTTAGCGCGTCTTCCTGCGGGCTCAATAAATTGCAAATTAAGGTCAATAGGGAAATTAATTATGCCTCGCGAAGTGAGTATAAATGTCTCTACAAATGTTAGCTGGGCGACAAATCGTATTGTTCCAGCTCTCCGGCACAATCCAGGGCTCTAGTTAACCAACTAGTTAACTACGATGCCTCTTCCCTATGGTGTTATACATTTTTGTCGTTAAAAATAGTGCAGATTCAGCATAAATCAAATGCAGAATCATGTGCTCGTCACACCAAGAAAAGTGTGACTGTTCTTCCTTCCTGCCCTCTTTTCTATCTGGGGCTGGCAGTCATGTAGAGAAAAGGGGAAGGAAGGAGATCCCCGAGCTTTCCACCACAAACCTCCGCTCATCCTTCACCCAAATTGAGTAATTCATCCTTGCAAGTTCCGTTCTTGTAGTTACAAGTCTTAACTTGTTTTTGCACAATTCAAAGTAGACAGGCATTCCTTTCTAAATTGAACATGTGAGTTACCACAAACTAGGAGGAGAGGTTTTTTTTTCATTCAATAAAAAGCTGCCAAATGCCAGATAACCAAAATGACTGAAAAATCTGATTCATTGCTGCCAGTAAGGTTTCCAGTTGCTCCACAAGACAAGTTGGTTCCAAAGGGAAATACATTTACAATGATTGGCCTTTATTTACTTTACATTATCACATTACAATATTTTAAAATAATTTAAAGTAAAAGGCCGGTAAGTCATCCATAATAGTATCTAGCCCAAGAGCAGATTACAGAACCACCAGTGTGTTTTGACTGAATGGCACCAAAACGCAAGCGACCTGGGGATCGATTGTCGTGCTGTTCCTACATCATGGCCTACGCTTGGTTTCTCAAGAAAGCCGTGTCTTGTGTCTTATAACGACAGTATTTTTCCAGTGGTTTGCAGGGGGATCTGTGATGCAAAGAGTAGTATTTTTTGATAAGAAAAGCAAAATGAATATAGAAAATGCCCACATGGTTTCTGTTTTGGATTAAGGTTTCTCAGAAGTTTTAGATTATCTGGCAACACAGCCGACTTTCATATGAGGCCTGAAGGCTTATTCATACTTTCCACGTCTACGTGTCTGTGAGGGGTCGTTCGCATCACAAGTGCACTGACTGTGCAGGCTAAGGTCTCGTTTTGCACAGCAGTCGAGCAGAAGATAACAGAGTGGATATCTGTTCTGAGGAGAGGGTTTAGCGAGCGGCTGTTATGCGAGTCAATATAATTTCTCTTTATGCGAACACAAAGACAGCTGACATCGTGGCCCTGAATCGTAGTGGGAGGCGGCCCTCGACCAGTACAATTCTGAAGCTGTCTGCAAACAGTATGTTCGAGGCTAATAGGATTAATGCAGAGGTCTTTGTTTATTATACAGAGACAGGCAAGCTAGTTATGTAGAGAAAATATTCATTATAATGAAAGAGTTATTAAGATATGCAAATCTATGTTTTCCTCTATGAAGGATATTTATGAAATCTCAACACTCGGTGAGGAAATCTTGTTATCAATCTCAGACAGTATGAAGAGCTTTGAATACCGACCTCTAACTTCTAACTACATTTCACTTGGCATGCATCACAGAGGCCTTTCTGTGTGGAGTCGCTCCAAAGGGGATCAGCTTAATTGGTGATTCTAAATTGCCCGTAGGTGTGTGGGCGCGAGGGTGTTTGTTTCTCTGTCGGCCCTGCGATTGGCTGGTGACCAATCCAGCGCGTGACCCGTTTCTCGCCCCATGTGAGCTGGGATTGACCCCACGACCCCCCCACCCTGCATGAAGGATAAGCGACTTTGAAGATGGATGGATGTATTACACAATGAGTATTTTCATTAGTTACTGTTCGTGGGAATTGAAGATGAAAGATGTGTAGTAAGGTTTTTTCATCAATGGTTCTCATAACGTAAGGTTGACGGTCACTAAGCAGCAGAGTCAGCTGATCTCTAATTACACAGGCATGCATTTACTGGATGCGGTGAATGAAATGTTAGAATTACTTATGAAAAGCAGAAATGTTTTCTCAAAATGAGGAAGGAACCATGAGCAGTGTGATCGTCACCGCAACAATGGAGATCAAATTGCGAAACCTATACTCATTCTGAATTAAAACAGAAAGTTCCCCTTGTGAATGAGGCTCCTTTTTATGAGAATCATGAAGACGTTTTTTATTTTACATCATGGCCCTTTATCTAAAAGATTAAATCAAGACTGTAACAGCGTCAGATTTATTCTTCTTCGTATCATTATCTTTATGGTTTCCAAAGGAGAGAACAATGCGGTGAAATACTTAGTGGGACGATCTTAAAGTGAATCAGTGGCCTGCAGACCTGATTATTCCTCCATCATAATAACTGGCTATCAGGGAAGAGGGACAAGACAGAGCCAATTAAACATAATGGAGCTATCTAAAAAATTCCACTTACACTGTCATGCTATAAAGTGGCGGGGCGACATTGGTCTGAGCTCACTGGCTGCGGGATGACTTCCTGCAGGGGAGTTGAATTTTCAATCTTTAGGTTTTGTGCTCAATTTCTTAACATGTATGATCTCAGTTTGCAACAACACTGTTTTTTTCACCCAACAACATTCCACAAGAATGAGAGTGAACAAACACAAAACTACTGCTTTATATAAAACAATAACTCAGTGTATGCAAAAAAAATAAAAAAAGTTTGATTTTAATTAAATGTAAAATTGTAGTTTATAAAGCTCCCATGGTTGCAGTTTGATTTGATTTAGGTGCAACTACTGCTTGGACAAAGCTGTAATAACTGTTTGTTTGCCTCTTAGGGGCAGCAGAAACAAGTGGTAAACATAACATATAACACATATCAACATGGAACGTTTAAGTCGATCAAACTGCAAATCAGTTGCCTTTTTACACATTCTGCAGTTACAGATCAACATTAGCGTGCATTTGGAGACTTGCTTTGGTCCATATTATAATTTGTGACCCTCTCTCGTTGTCTCCTGAGGGAAATATCTGGTCCTCCAGCTGTTGGGGTGAGTCGCTAACTGTGTTGTGGTTTCTTTTTGTTGCTGAAGCTCTGCTGCATCCTGAAAAGCACTATGAGTGTATTGAACCAAGACAGTAAAGTTGCGGTACAGAGAGCTATCAAGAGTCAAGCCTCACTTTGAAGCTACATAAAGCCGAGTCAATCAGCGCATTCAGATAAATCTTCCAGTTCATCGCTTCAAGTATCTCCTTTCATATTGTCACCCAGTTTTGTCATTTGACACGATGTAGCAATGTATTATAGCCACTAAAGACAAGGACATACTTAAATATTATAGATGTATATTAAATTCACTAAACTCAAATGTGTTTTTGTCACCTAACTTTATCATAACTCTGTTTTTATTCTCCACATCACAGTAATGGAAATAGATGTGACACTACCAAGCTAGCTAACGCCATGCTAACATCAGCACAGAAAAGATTCTCATCAGATAATGTTTTCCTCGTTTAACTTAACCCAAAATCTTGTAATGAACCACAAAACTGGATGCACATTGTCCTGATTAACTTTGAATTATAGTGTTTTGGCTTATCTGCGTTTATCTTCAACTCCCTCTTTTGGACATTTAGGACATTTCAAGGAGAGCGACATGAACTGAAATACAGAACAGATTTGATTTTCAAACTATTACTTCGTCAAATGTATGGCGATCGTATATGTAATTTACTATCTTACTAATAGACAGTGGTTTTCACGGTGTTCAGTCTACCATGGAGGTCTTTCTGACAGACGTAACAGTGATGTATTGAGTTGATTAAGTATCATGTCATTTTCTTTTGCTGATGTTTTGGGGGAATGAGCTTCCCGGCACGTCTCCCCGATGTTGTTGCAGGGATTGTGACTTGGCAATATGTATTTGAGGATGTATTTATGTCCACTTGTCTCTCAAGAAGCTGACCGGCACCACGTGCAACAGTGACTGAGCCTGTGGACACTGTGGTCCTTTGACATGCTCGCACTATGCGGGTTTTTATTAAAGGCATGGTTTGATAAATGAGTTCGTACATTCGTTTCTGTTTGTGCAACACACACATGTAAAGCAGCACAGGAACTTGTCTTCACCCCTGTGGTTGCAGAAATGAGTACTCCCTCTTCAGAAACACTCGCCTCAAAAAACAGTAGAAAACGAGTTCATGACCACCAACTATCTCATGTAAAAGCAATCTGAAAAAAAAAATACTACTTGATACAGCTGATTTTAAGAGATTGGTCCAAACCTGCCCGTTAACAAAAGGGATGCTACAGAAAGTTAAAACAAGAGGAAGGTTGAGACCACATTCTCCTCCAGTGGAACATCTCAGACCACCGCTGATGAGGCAGGAGCGAGGGCCACACCGGTGAGCCGCTGCGGAAGGAAACACTTGCTCTACTTTCCGACTATCTGCATATCTGTGGGTTCAGCGTGCTCGGCCTTCAAGTTGCATAAATGAATGTTGGCTGTGCTTAAAAAGGGCGTGCAGAGCAGACACAAGCATCACATTGAATTTAGCCAGAGACGAGCAATGGCAAGTCTGGCTTTTGTCTCGCTTCTTCTTGTAGCTATCGTGGTCTCCACAGCCTCAGCTCAAGGTAGGAAACAATACGAAAAATATGTGTTTTTATTTAAATGATTTACATCCAATGATTGTGGAAAACATGATGATGATGATGATGATGAGTCTAGTCTTGTGTCTTTATTCAGGTGGTTTACCCAGTTGTTGTCAAAAAATTCGAAACACTAGAATCCATCGAGGCTGCCTGAAGAGTTACTACAAACAACTCAATCCGCCGTGCGCAAAAACAGCAATAGTGTAAGTCATCCGCTCGGTCCAACGCTGGTTTAATGTGCATTTTTCTAATAAAAGTTCAGTACGTGAAGAGCGTGCTGACTCGTGTTTCAGAATAATCGGTTGGCATCTTGGGGATGTTGCTGAATGTACATTTTCTTTGATGTGATTTTCAATAGATTTATAACGGTGAAAGGCAAGAGGATCTGCGCTGCCCCCGAGAACTGGTGGACAAAGAAAAGCATGGCCTACCTGGACAGGAAGAAACCGGCCACTCCAACACGCACGCAACATCATTGCTCACCCAAATTAAGCTAAAATGAGGAGGCAATAGCTCCCAAATTTCTCTTCTCCCGTTTGAGTTCCAGACTGTTGAATGTTTCACTAAGTGAAATGATACCTATTATAGCTGCCTTTTGTGTGTGATGGTCCAATTATTTGATTTTGTTTGATGACTGTCAATTTATAAATACTACTACTTACCGAATAAATGAATTGTCACAATGTCACGGCTACGTTTTGGTGATTTGGTGTTTTAGACAGATTGCTCTCCAAGTGTGTGTGTGTGTGTGTGTGTGGAGAAAAGTCGCAGCCGGTTCCTCAGCATCCAGGGGTGTCACCTCCTCATCTCCTTATCTCATCTGTCAATGCACTCATTTCCCAAGTAAAAGGCCAGATAACAACAACGCGCCATGTTTACGTATCTGAGTCATGGGGCAGTGAAATGAAAGATGGTGGAGATTATTTAGTCTGTGAGGGTCCAAAGAGGAGTACGCAGTCAACAATGTTGAGAGCTTCCAATTCTGTGAAGTAAAAGTGGGATTATCATAACTTCAGTAATATAAGTGCAGTGCAATTACTACCAGCAATGAACAACCTACGTATAGTATTATGAGTAAAAACACAACATCCACAGTAATTGTTACACTATTATAACTCACATCATTAGTAAACGTGTAATAGAAAAATTAACATGATAGAGTTTTTAAGGTGGAGCTAATTTTAACCAATTTCAATAGTTTAAAAAATAAATACTTAAATACTGGAAAGTTTAAACTATAACAATGGCTCCTTTTTTTAGTCCAGTTTTTTTGTATGTTTTGTAAATATATATATATGCATATAACATTGGGCAAGAAACGGGGTTACAGCATTCACACTCACACACCTATGGGCAATATATTTATTTATATATAAATATTTGTCAAAATGCACTATAAAACCATTCTGAATGAATTTCCCAATGCATTTTCTAGGTGGTGTGTGTTCTTGACAGATTACTGTCTAAGTGTGTGTTTGGAGAAAAGCTTCAATCGATATCTTAGCATCCAGAGGCGCCTTCTTCTCCATTTCTCATCTCTTTGTGTCATCTCTTTCTGCGCTTCTCTTGCACACAAAAAAATCCATAAATAATTTCAAATATATTTATATAGGTTTAGCTATATATTTAACAAATATAAACACATGGATTTCTTTGTGCTGTCATAAAAACTGACCATAAAAAAGACCGACCACAACTTTCTTTAATCCAAAGTGTACTTTCAAACGTGGTCTATGGAACGTGAGTCATTCTCAGTTTGATCATTTTTCCCCATTCTGGTGGCCGCCGCTCTCCACCTGCCCTCGCTCTACTGGTTTGACGAGGTGGGCTTCGGGTTCACAAGGGGGAAGATTTAGGGGCTTTCTGTTTCCATGTTCCGGGGGCCCAACGCGACGAACAAAAAGGCACCAAGCAACCTGCTATTTACTACGCGTGGGCGGAGAGAGAAAGTACAGCTCGGCGCCTGCATGCTGCAACCGAAGGTTTGAGAGCGGAGAACGTTTGAGGTCAGCGCAGCGTTTACTCAAACCACTGTGCAATGGGTTTTCCCCACACCTCGCCTTGATGGGTGGCCCACCATTGTTGCCACGTGTTTGAGTGAACGGTTGAGTGCGTGCGCAGCTGCTTACACCCGTGACTAAATACGAGTGGAAATACAATAAAAGTGTGAATATTATGTAATGACAAACCTATGCTTTAAGACTATCGGTGTTGAGTCTTGTGTTAATGTAAGTGCCACCATTGTGTCAAGTAGGCTGTACACACAGCCATGTAATGTTTCAGTGTTTGATTGTGTTTGTGTGTGCGTGTGGGTGTTTGTGGTTGGAAGATGACAATTAATATCTTATAAGATAAGTCCCACTGAGTCTTATTCTGATGTAAAAGCAGTCTGAGATTGCACTTTCTTTCTGATGGGTTAACCACAAAACACCTCTGCAGTGCACACACACTCACACACACGCGCATGCGCACAAGTCATGTCATAAAAATGAAAGTTAAAGATTGTATAAACAAGTCAGAGGAATCTTTGTGTTCTCAGTGAACTAGTGACCCAGACTCAGAGCCCAGAGCTCTTCTGCATATGTTGTAGGCTTGGCCTGGATTTCAATATACAATTCCCCTATTGGTGCAATACCAAACACATTCTGTCCTTGAACCCTCGCATCAGAAAGGATGCGAAAACAAGCTGTAAAAAACACATTTAGATGTTATCAGCTTATGAAGTAAACGCGCCTTAAAATAGAATAAAATAGTTTGGTGCTTAAAAAACAAAACGATACCCTGGACAATGAGAATAGCCCGGCTTTGACATTACTTACAGCCACTTCATGTTAATAAATGCACACAAGATTCTTAGAAGTCCGCATTTCTTTTTGTGCTTCCACTAACTTTGTTTCAGGGTTTTCAATTTTCTGAGAATAAAGGAAACTGTTCTGCAGAATTTAGAAGCCAGAAACATGCTCTCACACAGACATGCGTTCAGGAAGTGGCCCTTGTGGTAGTATAACAACCCCAGCGTTTCAAAACCAAACATCCTTGACAGCAAACAAATTTCACAAATATCCCACAAGCTACTACGTTATCATTGCAAACAAGGCACAACAATACAATGTATGTCTACTTATGAATATTTTACTAGTTTGCATGAGATTGTTCTTTATTAGTTGAATGTGGAAAATCTACTTCCTAAAAATGGCTTATATTTACCAAACAGTAGCCTATAAAAACACATTTGCACTTCAGTGCAAAATGCTTGGCCTGCAGAGTTTCTGCGTGCAGTTTTCTTGAGTACCGTCCTTGCAAACAACTTCACATTCAACACTGTGCTTCATGGGCCCTCGGCAATACACCTCGCATGACGGGCAAATCACATCCCTACGTTGCGTCAACTCACACAGGAAACCACAACAGGGGCATATTCTAGATTAGGCCAAATAAAAGGGAACCAAACCGCTTCCAGTGCATTTCCCCGGACCCTAAACACCAAATCGCCCACGAAAGCAATGCCATTGGTGTGCTAAGGAGTGTGGACGCTTGGATGGTCCTGATGGGCGGGTGGCACCTTGTACTCTAGCTCCCGTCTGGGAGCGAACAAGTCACTGACATGTAGCGCAAAAGCGATTTGAGCGGTCAAAAGACTTGAAAGGCGGTGTACACAAACACGTCTAATATGCAGCATTTGTAGTTTTACTGTCAGATAAGCTAGTTCAACTAAATTCAAAGCACACCTATGATTCGGTCCGTGCCGGCCGGGACTGAGCAGCCATCCACAACAATGCAAACAATCTCACCCCGCTCTTCTTATGCAGAGTTCATAACTCCACTTGAGGGAATTAGGTATCCACGTGGAGGGATGGGAAAAAAAGAACGATTCTTTGACCCGGGAAAACAGATGTGTGCTTACTGTGTGAAACAAGACGTTAATTTATTTATTCGTACTTGAATAAAACCCCTTCCGTATTTTTTAAAACCACTATCGAGTAAAGAGCATCATGAGAAGTCTGCGTGCACGGATTGCTTCATAGTACATGTACCGTATAACTTCAAACCAGACCATAATAATCATGTCTGTTTGTCCGGTATATTTATTGTATCAAGCTGAATATAAGCTATGTGTCTAGATTTGCTATCTCTGTAAAACCCGAAGAGACGGTGAAGATTAACTTCCTGTTTTTATTTTTGTAACCACTGCACTTCCTGTATTTCTCGCCCCTTCGTTTCTCCCCATAGCTGAGTTTAGTTTGCAATCACCTCCACCTGTATTTAAGCATCAGTCCCCCCCCTCTCCCCCCCTACTTGTCCGAGTCAGGTTATCTTTTGTCCTACCCCGAGTTGAATGTTTACAGTCAGGTTTTCACAGTGTTTGTTTGTGTGAAGTCCACCTGTGCCTGTGCTGCCTTTTTTGTCTCGCATTATTCATTCTGCATTTTCGTTGACACCTGACAGTTTCCTTAATGTACATTTGTGAAAACACCATAAGAGCTACTGACAACAACGTACTGTGATGGTAGTCCCAGTCCAACATGTCTGTTTCACACCACTCACACCATGCTCCAATTTTTATCGTGAAAAAAATGATTGGCAAAGGAATTGAAATATTGAAAACTTTATGTTCTTTGACATCCGCACGTTTATGACAAGATTGACAAAATATTCAATACAAGACTGCATATTTAGTAATACATAAGATAATATATAAATAATCTCTGTTTTTGTTCAATTGTTTTTTTTATAGCATTCATAGAGTAAAGCTGGACGAGTACAAGAGGAAAGAGTCATGTACACTGAGCTTTGAATCGTCTCTCAAGACAATTCAATTCTGGCCTCGTTTTCCTGCCCTGGGCTTCTTTCTCTGGCATCCCCTTCTATTCCTGCTCGTCTTCTGCAGCGTAGTTTTCGATGGGAGGGACACTGCTGGTGAGACGGCGCTTGTTGTTCCATCTTCATTTTGTCCGTTCTCCTGCAATGAACTTTGCTTACGTTTCTCCCTGTTCACCTTCAGAATGACTTGTTTTGCCCAGTCACTGTTTGGGTCCGAGCAAATCCTCCCTCCATTAATGTGCCGGAACCTGTAATTGATTGAGATCTATTAATGGAATTGTAATGTATTTTCTCATTGTCAGCCATTTTTAAAGGGGCTATTTTCCAGTAGAAACATTGTTGACGGATAGATTATCTAGAGTGCCGAGGACTGTTTTTAGGGAGGGGGTTAAATCAAATTGTCCAATGCTATGAGCAGCAAATAATATTGTATTCTTATTGTAGTTCCAATTGTTCTGTATTGGCATAAATCAGATACTGTATCTGCAACCCGGTTAAATAAAAAAGTAAGTGAGTCATTTTGTGTGTCATTTTTTGCGATGGTGAACACACAATATTGTTGAGTTATGGACTAATTACATTGTGAAAGAGCTGGGCCACTCACACTATGGCGTTGATTGAACAGGCGGCATCAGTCTGTACGGTGTAATTCACAACACATCTGGGGGGGACTTTTCTCGTAGACCACCCAAGACAACAGCTGGACACCGATGCATGGGCTGAAAAGAGAAAAAGATTAAGTACGTTGGATTTCACCCTGCAGAAAGTCAAAGGTCGTCACCATCTGTGCGGTACTCACTAGCATGGACGACGCTCACCCACGCGGTGAAGCAAAGAAGAGCGGCTAACACCCGGCTGAAGGTCATCTTCTGTTCTTCGGTCGTGGAGTTGAGTGTCCCTCAGCACAAAGTCAGGCGATCTGAAGGCCCCCCGTCTCCCCCAACAGACAATAGTCTTGCTACTTGCTTGAGTGGTAATCGAGACGATAAGACTCGCAAGCGTCTCTCTTTGTCTTTCTGTCGAGCCGGAGCTTGGCTTTTATAAAACACCAACCCTTTCCGTCTCTCCCCCATCATCACACCCCTCACCCATCACCATAGTCGCGGTGGCCGCAGAACGGGGAGAGGAACATTTTTTTTTCACCTTTCACAAGTCAAATATGACAAAAAGACCATTGGCCACAGATCTACCCACAGCACAACAAATACACAACTGTAGCATCACTCAATGTGTGCGTAGATACGCACGCAGTGACTCACCACTTTCCTTTACACTCACTTTGAAAACCACAAACTGCTTTAGCTTTCAGATCCACAGACAAAGAATAGAAGGCCGGTGTCAGACATTTACAAATACATACAGTCAGAAATGCTTGTACCAGGCTTAGTTTAGGCTTAGCTGGTTGTCAACCACACAAACTCTACAGCCTAAGGCCCTCCAACACAGTTGGTTGAAATGTTTCATCCTAAATGTTAAGCATCACGTTAGTATTTAGATCGGTGACATTTACAAATCAAATTTGTTTTACTTGGGTGAACTTTGACATGTGAATTTGGGCCGCTTGACAACTGTAAACTCTCCTGACTGGGCCGACTTTTTACTTCAAATTTACTATGTTTGTAAATATAAACCTAAATATATTTAGGTCAGTAAATTTTAGTTAAGCTGTCTTTAGATTTCCAAATGTTGGTTTTGGTTTTGAATTCATCAGCTTTTTAAAACAGATCTCAAGTATTAATATTGGTATTTGACATCTTACCGTTTTTGTAACTTTAACCTGCGCTGCCTTTGATCGAAGAGATAGATTTTTGATAGAGAAAAAACTGCAACTACAATAAAATTTTATTTTTCCAGGATGGGGGTGAGCACTACCAGGAGAAATATCATTAAAAAAAAAAACTATTTGGAGGAGGAGGAAGCCGATTTCGTTCGAGGGCACACACATGAATTGTGTGTAGAGAAGGAGGCATCCAACAATCATCAACTTTTAAACCAGGATTTAACTGACCGTAAAGTCGGCCAAACTGGCAATATAATGGACTCAATATAAAACTTAAAATTAGAAAGAAAAAAAGATGATGGATGATGGAGCGAGAGGCTGAAATGGATCAAAGAGAAGTAGAGGTGACAACAAAGAAGTAAAAAGATACACAGTATCCAAAGCGTATCCTCTGAAACCCATTGAACCCAAGAGTTGAAGGAAACAGAACAGTTGTGAATAGTGAAAAACAGTGATGAATGGAGGAGAAGAACAGAGTACTTACTGCATGTAGCAGGTACATCTCCAATCACAGATCATAAACACCCCCCAAAGACTTGAAGCAGACTTGTTTTGTTCCACCTGACCACTGTAAAGAAGGCGGGGCAAACGAAGGCTGGGAGATGCATTATTTAAACGGCCGGTGTGTCCAATCGACTGACACAGGCTGCCTGGCAGAGCAGAGAGGACTGAGAGACGAAGGGACAAACAGAACGTAGGAGATCGCTGGTTGCTGGACCTCGGGTGTCCTACGAGAGGAATACACAAAAAGACCTGCTCGACAAGTTCAGAGGACCCCCCCCCCCGCAACCCAACACCCACTGGCCACGCAGAGACTTTCCACGTGATTATTTGTTGTGCTTAAACATGTGTTTATATTGAAAGGCTGCACATTTTATGTTTAAATACAGCTGTTTTCACTGAGTAGATGGGCTTCCTGGTTTGTATCTGATTTAATTTACATTTTTGCAGTGGGGGAGGGTACCCAGCTGGTGGCTGGGAATAACGTGGATCATTTGCCTGTCTGGCGCCCAACATATCCTTTGGATTAAAAGACGCACCCCTACGCTACACACTTTATTGGTTATTCATCTGCAGGATGGAAGTTAATGTTTGCTTCAGGCCCTTGACTCATTCACTCAACAATAACACACAAACGCACATGCATCCTAACAGTCACATAATGAACTGCCTGCGCTCAAAACTATATGTTCACACACACACACACGCACACACGCATACGTTTCTCCACAGCAAACATCCCAGCCTCATCGTTATCTTCCCCGTGGCAACCTGTTTGTCAGGGAAGAAGCGCCTCGCTGGATTATTTGTTCCTCTCTCATTCATTAACTGTTGTCCTGGGCAGCAGCCGGGGCTGCCGGTTGGCCGAGAGCGTAGCTGATGGGTGTTATTCTCCCGATAAAGCAGGAGAGCGGGAGGTGGCATCACAGGAAATTACAATCAATACGGGCTCTCATATCCTCATCCGATATTGACCGCAAATGGGACGGAGGAGCACATTGTTGACCCTTGGAGCATGGACACAAGGGGACTTTTAAAAAACTATTTACATGCTTTGCATGCATGACGCACACACACACACACACACACACACACACACACACACACACACACACACACACACACACACAAAGGCTGCCCTAAATGTGGTAACTGTTCGACAGAACCCATCTTTTACTTGTACGCAGAGCAAATGTGAGAAAAGAGTTGAGGAAACCAAACTCCTCTGCCTCAAACCGCAACATTTTAATCTCCGATAACGCTGAGTGCATCCACACCCACTTATGCATTAGTCATAGACATTAACCCATAGTTGTGCGTCAGTGTACTCTATCACATTGTATTTTTTGGTTAGTTAGAGCTTGACAGAAAGCCAACGCGTTCGCACGTGCAGGCCTGAGTGGCATGTCACAAACGAGAGCGATAATTAAAGGAGCGTCTCATCAGATGGAAATACTCGTCTCCCTGCTCTCTCTGTTTAATAAAGAATCTGCTCCAGACAGATTAAGGTTTGATTGCATCCTTTATCTGACACTGAGAAATCTTACTGATTCATTATTTTTCAAAGATTAAGATATGCGATTCTGTCTCCTTTATCTCTTTTTGGGGGCAAAATGACAATAATTAGAAGAAATCCCTTCCTTCCCTTCCTGTCTGTGTGCGCACACAGATAAATTCAATCTCAAGTAAAGAAAAAGAAAAATGCCCCCAAAAAACTTCCGTAAAGGCCAACTATGCTGTAACAAAGAACTATGTGTCTGGGTTTGATTCTGCTGGTGCTCGGCGTGAGAATGTCTGGGGACGGGCTGCTGTAAAGAGCAGTGTACTCAGGTCATCTTTAGAGAAGAGTGGAGATGTTTTTGATATGTAACAGTGGAGACATACACGCCGATCAATACGTCGACCTTTCTCAGACTGATTGCGCGATGGTCTGCTCTGCCCCGAGCTCCAGCACCCACCGGAGGTCCATCAACCATCAAGCATTTGTTGTTCTCTTTCAGGAGGCGAAGGACGGCCATTCTCTTCTGGTGCTTTGCTCTTTTATTTTACTTCAGGACTTTTATTGTGTTATGCCTTTTTTTATTCTTATAACTGTCTGTATCTCTGTAATCTCTTTACACACACACACACACACACACACACAGACACATACACAGAGACGGAATTAATGAATGTGCCAATGAAACCAATGCAACCAGGTTGATCCTCCACAATTGAGGGTGTGAACCGTTCCCAAGGGTCCCCATAGATAGATAATGTATATTTCTGCTCAATACCAGGAGATGGAAAGAAATCCCTCCGGGAGTTGAGAAATGCCATTTACTTTACAAATTAATATTTCAATTAGAAAAGTAATTCCCAATTCATTCCCTGAAACCGCTGGAGTTGAAATGAAGTTGACCCCCCTGCCCGGTATCAATCCCGTCGCCATTGACCCCAAAAGCTTCAATTGTGGATCAAGCGTCCATTTAGGAGCCCGTCAATAATCGACTCACCCACGGTGGCCGTATTACCATAGACATTAGCATAGTAGGACTGCCTGAACCGCCCGGCGCCTCCGGCTCACGGTCCAGAGGACGCAGGAGCACGTAAAGTGTAATCGATAAGCGCTTTAATTGCAGGGCCCCGCTCGGGCCGCAGCTCTTCACGGTTGGGAGACGCGCAAACGCCGCCGCAGCTGATCCAGCGCGATCATTTCAGACAGAGTGGCAGTTTTCACCGCCTCAGTAACTCGTCTCTTTGGGCGAGAGCTATTATAGACAGAGAATGGTCAACTCCGCTCTTTAGATTTGCCAAATGGGTCGATTAAAAAAAGAAAAAGAAAAGGGAGGCGTGGGCCACGTTTGTTTAAGGTGTTGCTGCTTTGTGCTGTGGAATGAGCTTATACTTTGTTTTGTAAAGAGTGCAAGTACTAATTTTCAAATCATGCTTTTTTGCAGTGCATGTCGACTTTACAAACTGAACTTTACAAACATGTGAATTAGTCACAATTAACAGCGAGCCAACCAGTGACGATAATGTGGCCGTGGAGTTCGTCGCTTGGGCTGAACGTTTGTCTTTGTAGCCAGAAGTCTGAAGAAAAAGTTTCCTTTGGAAATGGTTTTGTTTTGTTGTTTCCTAATCCCTTCTCATCAAGGTGTTATTTGAGTATTGATCAATTACCCCATGAAGCCGATATTGTTGACATATGAATTCAGCTGCTTAACAAAGTTTAAGTATGTGTTTAAGTATTTGTTGTTTTGTGTATGAGAGACATCGGTAAAACCATTGGGAATGACAATCTAGTAAAGAACAAAGAGCAAATTCTACTTTTATCCTCTGATCAGCTGATATGTCTTTTTGCCCTCAGATGCCATGTTTTTTAATTCGATTGCTTTCAGCTAAGCAGAGATCACTGACCTATTCGATAAACCTCCGGCAATCAGCCCTGAACATATAGAACCATGTTCAAACAACTGATACAGCAAGTGTGTTTGCAAGATGGAGGCTTAATAACGTTGCCAAAACATTCTGCACAGTCTATTGAAAACCACCGATGTCCTCACTGTCTTTCATGTGTTTTAAAAAAAGCTTCAATCAACATCACCTTGAGTTTGTTTGTTGTATTAGTAT